GGAGACCTGGAGATCTTAAACATGATAGGAATTGTTGCCGGAGGCGCTGCCTTTTACTCTTGGGTAGCCCCAATAGCAAGGGCACCCCACTTCTAACCTGACCCAGAGACCCACAAAACTCAGGCTAAGGAAGGCACTCTTGGTTCTGAAACACAGAGCTAGCCACAGCTCTGAAAAAGGGGTCTCCATTTTCAGGTGACAGGCAACCTCAGAGCAAGCCTCCAGTCTTCACCCTTCACCCAGCAGACATGATGCTTATGGAATAACAATGAGTTCTAGCAGGTAAAGTATCTACATTTCTAAAGTCTATTTAATTCTTTGTCTGAATACGTGTCTTTTCTACTCTGTCCCTCAAGATACCGGGATAAACCAATCAAGCATTCAAATTATTAACGGTCCTTCCCAGGGGTCATTTCCTAGAAAAAGAGCTAGGGGAACTCATTAGCATAACTCATTAGCATATGCCACACCCCCTAACATCACCGGAAGTGTGTCATTAGGCCACACCCCCTGACATCACCGGAAGTGTGTCATAAGGCCACACCCCTGACATCACCGGAAGTGTGTCATGAGGCCACACCCACCACTCAGTCTTAGTCTTAAAGGTGCTATTTGAACTCTTGGACTATTTTGCAGCAACAGACTAACACAGCTAATTCCTCTGAATCTAAACCCACCACTCACTCTGTGAGCTTGGTACAAGCATGATAGTTAACACCCCTTGCATCAAGGAAAGGCCTACTGTGCTGGAGGAGGGTGATACCATGAAAGGATCCAGCCCTATTCATCTGCCCAGTACCACCTGCTCAGGGGGCATCAGAAGGTCCATCTGCAGGGCCAGAACTCCAGGAGCCCTCCCACTCTTGTCCCCCAGGCCCGTAGCTAACAACTTTTTGCTCGGGGGGGCATGTTTTTCTCAGGGGGGCCACCACCAATGTTCCCTCTAAGCTGTGGAGTTTTCTGAGCAAAACTACTTTGTGAGCTACTGCCATTAAAGTTGTGAGAGAGCAATTTGGCTGCTGCATAATTAGTTTGCTCTGGAGCCATCCTTCCTGAGCTAAGATAAAAATCTGCGAGCTGGAGGTTTAAAAACTGTGAGCTATCTCACAGTAACTCAGCTGAGAGGGAACACTGGAGGTACTAGGTATTTTTTGAATTGTACCTTTAAAAGCTGCCCAAAATAACAATCATTATATAGATTTCTCCAGCTGCCAATGGTTATGTTAATGAGTTAACCAATAAGAAAT